AGTCAAATAAATGAACCTGTGTTTGCTTCAGTCAGAGATGCCAAAGAAAGCAGAATTGTCTCACCAGTTGCTTCCATTTCAACTGCTGGCTCTGCAGCAAAGTGATGGTGTCCTCCTTTAATTCCAGCAGTGGGAAGAGGCAGGGGTATCTCTGACTTTGAGGCATCCATGGTCTATAAGTCAAACTCCAGAATAGTCAGGACTACATAGAAAAACCCTCTCACAATAAATAAATGAATAAATAAATAAATCCAACAAAAACAAAAGAAACATAAAATCCACTGCAATATATTATGATTTAATGGGAATTTGATCAATAATGACCTTAAAATTACACATGATTTGCTATTTCTGACCCAGCACAGACAAAACAAAGGAGGAAAGTTATAGGCACCCAGGAATGTATCCTAAAAGAACCATACAGGGATTTGGGAGAACATAACTGCAAAGCAAGCCACACTGCATCTGGACCATTCTGGATCATTCCCAAAGCTTTTGGACTATCCAGCTACAGCTCTCTCTCTCTCTCTCTCTCCCTCTCCCTCTCCCTTTCTCTCTCCCTCTCTCTCTCTCCCATCCTTTCTCAATCTCTCTTTCTCTGTATGTCTCTGTCTCTCTGTCTCTCTTTGTCTCTATCTCTATATGGGGTATGTCTCTGTCTCTCTGTCTCTCTCTGATTCTATTTCTCACTCTCTCTTTCTCTGAGTTGGAATTAGGTATAGCAAAAGAGGCAGGCTCTCTGCTCAGGAACCAGGAACACTGCATATTCTCCTAGGGATCCCATCTCTCCACTGCTCACATATGCACCCTTCTGTATGAAGACCTGACTTACAGAAAAGCATTGGCCAAAGACAACCACCCATCATCATGGAACCTGCCTCTTGACTTTTCACTGGCCCTATCCAGTTTGAAATCGATGAGCGTCCATTTTGTCCAGGTGTGACTTCACTTCCTATATCTGCAGGTAACAGAGGCCTAGATTCCACACCTGTCTAGGAATCTCATCTCTAGAGCTCAAAATAACTCAAGTACCATCTCTCCCAGAAGCAGGCCACATTCTTATAGATAGAGATGTCCAGGAAGCCCCAGAAATGCCCTGATATTCTTCACTGAGAGTCTCTGCTTCTGCTCTCACTTCAACATGCTGATCCACACAGAAACGAATATGTACTTTGCTCATCATTCATACAAGGGCCAAGCTGTGATGTGATGAGTAACTTGTAAAATGTGTTTTTACTCTTTAATGGGCATCATTTGCAGCTATGAAACAACAATTAGAGAGATGTCTGTTATGAAAGAGATACAGGAGGCAATTGAATGGCAGACATCTTTTTGAAAGGTCTTTCTATATATTTACGTATATTAATATGTAGAGAGAATTACTCACTGACTGTCTATTCTCACACTCAAACTTCTAGCTTTACCATGAGTGTAAATTGCTTCATGAGTTCAGCCCAGCCAAGGCCAACATAAACACAGCCATCATCTTAGTTCTGGTGGGTTTAATCACTGTGGGGATGAAAACTGTCTGTTCTCTGTCTAATCCCAAACAAAAGTATGTTAAAGGGACCCAAACAGAGAAGAGAGAGGACTCAAAGACCACTAGGACCTGGACATGACCTAGCACAGGGGATGCCATGTGCCAACTACTTGAATCAAACTCACTCGTTTTGGCCTATAAGTGTGATCCCTCTGCATTCCTTAGCTTTTTTTAGAGACAGAGGCTGGGAACTAGTCTGAGAGAAGCTGGCATAGAGATCAGAGCAAATCCCCTAGTTGAGAAGTTTGCCTTGCATTTGGGACTTGTCTGAGCACTTGCCCAGAGATGAACCATGGGTCTGTTGAGATGAGAGAGGTGTGACTATCATTATAGATTTTATGGCATCTTCTTAGATGTAAAGAAGGGGCTGTAGTGGTAGAAGGTTCTTTCTACAGAGACTTCATAGGTTGTGGAGAGATAGTACACTCTCCCAAGGCTCAGCATCAAGTTGAGCTTAAGAGCAAGACTGTAGCTGGTGAAGCTGAGGAAAGAGCCCTGTGGTGTAAAGAATATAGAGCAGGCTGGTCTCCTGCAGATGATCAGCGTTCAGTCTTCTAGCATCAATTTAAAAACTTGTCTTTCTGACTTCTTCAGGCTCCATAAACATCGTTGTATATTTCAGCATTCTAAAAGCCTGGAGCATGTCCCAAGTTGCCAACAGAAGGTTTTGAACATTGTGGTGTTTAACTCACAGAAGACGAATCGTGCCTCTATGCCCAGAAGTGCTGCAACATTGGATGTGGCTACAGATGTGAATCTCCTGAGTCTACATCACGTTAAAGTTTGTATACTCTGTGTTTTGCTCTTCTATTGTTGTGATAAGTCCATGACCAAGGGGGCTTACAGAAGAAACAGTATAGTAAAGCCTTACAGTTTCAGTGAGTGAGTCCATGACCATCCTGGTGGGGAGTATGGCTGCAGGACATTGGCTTACACTCTCCATATCCTCTACTGTGTAAAAACAATCTCACAGCTACTAAAGGGCACAAAAATCATCATGACTTAGGGTCATATGGTCATAACATGGGACATCATACTCTTCTCTTCCTCAGCCATAGAGGTTCAACTCTCTCAGAAAAACATGTATTCCTGGGAGGGTACAGACAATGACATTAAAGGGAACATTTATTCATTTATTGAATGCCTTATGCATCAAGCAGACATGTGCTAGAAAGGAGATTCAAAAGTCAATGTAAGTAGACTGTGGAAACATTTGTGTTAGCATAAGCTCTGCACCACTTTCTAGTAAGTTCTAACAGTGGTTACTAGCTTTGCCTGGGAAGAATTCAGAGTGGAGTTCAACTAGGAGAAGCTGAAGTTAGGACACACAAAGCCTAGCAGACAAGGGAGGCAGGATCAGACAGTGGGAGAAATGTGGGCCCTCCTTAGGAGATGTGAAAAGGTTGTGTGTGATAGCTGTGGTGTCTGGGTGAGGGACACCACAAGAAGTCCACATCCAGTCAGCAATGAGCTACTGAGCCAAGAGTGAGGGCTGAACAGCTAGAGGTGTATAAGCAGAGGCACTGTCATGATCAAATCTGTGTTTCAGATGACAGCCCTGTGGAAGATGGATCTGGTCGTCATAGCATAACTGGTTGCATTTCTGAATCCCAGAGCCCGTGCTTGGCTACTGCCTAGAGCTAGAATTACATCCTTAGAAGATGAAGATCTATAATCTGGTGACAGCTTCCTAATGTGTTCATGTATAAAATAAACTATCCTTAGCATTCGTTTTGTTGAAAATTCATTTTGTTGAAGACTTGTTTTGTGCATGTATGTCTGTGTGTGCATGTGTGTGCGTGCGTGTGTATCCATCATATTGACTCTTCTATTTTATTTATAATGAGTATATTTAATATTTTTTGACTTTTTATTGGATATGTTCTTTATTTACATTTCAAATGTTATCCCCTTTCCGGGTTCGCCCTACCCTGAAACCTCCATCCCATCCCCTCCCCTGCTTCTATAAGGGTGTTTCCCCACCCACTCACCCACCCACTTCTGCCTCCCTATCCTTGAATTCCCCTACACTGGGCCATCCAGCCTTCACAGGACCACGAGCCTCTCCTTCCACTGATGCTGTAAAAGGCAATGCTCTGCTACATACACATTCAGCTGGAGTCATTGGTCCCTCCATGTGTACTCGGTACACATGCTGTACTTGGTACTTGGTACTTGGTACTTGTGTACTTGGTAGCTGAGTCCCTGGGAGCTCTGGGGTGTCTGGCTTTTTGATATTGTTGTTCTTCCTATGGGGCTGAAAACCCCTTCAGCTCCATCAGTCCTTTCTCTAACTCCTTCTCTGACTTTGAGGCCACTCTGCTTTACAGGACAAATTCCAAGGCAAACAAGGCTACACAGAAAAATCCTGTCATAAAAACAAACAACAACAAAAGAACCCCAAAATCCAAATAAAAAGAAAGAAACAAGAATGCTGCTGTGATATATTGTGATTTTATACATATTATATAATTTATTATATTACAAAAAATACAAATGAATTTGCCTGTGTTTCTGGAAAAGCATGCAAGCAACAAAGAAGGAAGGTTGCACATACCCTGGAATGTCTCCTCAATCTGAAGAAAGAACTGGAAATAAATGGAACAAAACATGTGACCAAACAAAGCTCCACAAACCCTGAGAAGAAACCCTACAGAGAGAAGACACTGCAGAGCCAGCCACACGGTGTCTGAGCCTTTCCCACAGCTCTTGGACTGTTTAGCTACAGCTCTGCTTCTGAGAGTCTAAAATCTGGATAGCAAAAGAGGCAGGCTCTCTGCTCAGGGACAAGGGACACTGCATGTTCTCCTCGGGCTCCCATCCCTCCACTGCTCACATATGTAGTCTTCTGTATGAAGACCTGACTTACAGAAAAGCATTGGCCAAAGACAACCACCCATCATCAGGGAGCTTGCCTACGTAGATTCAACCCTAGCCAGTTGGAAGTCACTGAGTACCTATTTTTCCAAAGAGTGACTTCATTACCTACATCTGCAGGTAGAAGGGGCCCAGATTCCACAGTGTTTATGAATCTCATCTGTAGAGCTCTAAAGACACAAGCCCATCTCTTCCAGAAGAATGCTACATCATTATGTAGCTGGACGTCAAGGAAGCCCAGATGGGCCCTGACACTCCTCACTAGGCATCGCTGCTCCAGCTCTCACTCTGAGATGCTGAGCTACACAAATAAATATTTCCTTTACTCATCATTCATGCATTCACGCAAGGCCCAAGATGTGGTGTAACAAGTCACACGGTACTGAAATGTGTTTATTTGCATCAACCAAAGAACAATTAGAGATAAATTATGAATCAGAAAAAGGAGCCAAGTGATGGGCAGGCTCTTTCTGGAAATCTCTTTTTTATACATTTCCCCATTGACTGTTTCCTCCCACACCCATACTTCTAGCTTTACTGAGGCTATAAATTGTTTTGTGATTTCAGCGCAGTCAGAGCCAACATGAAGACAGCCACAGTCTTGTTTCTGGTGGCGTTGATCGCTGTGGGGATGAACATTACCTGTGCTCTCTCTTCTTCTAAAAGTAAGTGTGTTAAGGGCATCCAAGCTACAAAGAGAGGGGACTCTACAAAGCTCACTGGACCTGGAGATGTACTATTACAGGGAAAGCCATGTGACATCATCTTGGATCAAAGTCACTCTCTTTAGCCTATAAGAGTGATCACTCTGCATTCCTTATCGTTCTTAGAGTCAGAGGCTAGAGAGTAGTCTGGCATAGAGATCAGGACAGTTGCCCTAGTCTGTCAATGTGCCTTGACTTTTGGACTTGTGGGAGCACTTGCTCAGAGATGAGCTATGGGTCTAGTGTGATGAGAGAGGTTTGTCATTAGAGATTTTATTGCATCTTCTGAGGTGTAAAGAAGGGGCTGTGATGGTGGAAGTTTCCTTCTACTGAGACTGCATAGACTGTGGAGGGGGAGGACCCTCACCCAAGGGCCAGAATCAACAGTTGGGCTTAAGTGCAAGACTGGAGTTGGTGAAGCTGAGGGAAGAGCCCTGTGGTGTAAGGAGCATATAGAGCAGGCTGGTCTCCTGCAGGTGATGAGCCTTCAGATCTCTAGGATCAATTCGCAACCTTGTTTTCTGTCTGCTTCAGGCTCTATAGCCACCATTGTGTATTTCAGAATTAGAAAAACCTGGAGCATGTCCCAAGAATCCCCCAGGAACTATTGGCATTTGTGCTGAACTGTGCTCAGGAGATCAATCATGCCCTGGCAAAATGAAATGCTGTAGCAATGGCTGTGGTAATGTCTGCAAAATTCCTGTCTTTTGCGTGAGTATAGTCCTATTTCTTACTTTTCTATTGATGTGATACGACACCATGACCAAGGCAACTTATAGAAGAAAGTTTATTGGGTCCTTACAGGTTGAGAGAATGAGTCCATGACCCTCGTGGTGGGGAGCATGGCAGCAGACAGGCAGGCATGGCAGTGGAGCATTATTGCCTGCAGGCTTACAACTTGAGAAGGAATCCTGAGGCAGCAGAGAGTGAGCTAACTGGGAAGGATACAGGCCTCTGAAAACTCCTACCCTGTCCCCTGCAATACAACTCCTCCAACAAATCCATACCTCCCAACATATTTCCCCAAAGTTCCAAAAACTATGAACTGATTATTCAAATATATAATACTAGAAGCACCATTATCATCCATACTACAACACCCTGTCAAGGTATGTCCCAGGGACTGAGTCAGTTTCCAGGGGACTTTCCTGGAACAGTCTCATGCTGCTTTGTTCAGTGGCTGCACAAAAGTGGCTGGATGTGAGCAAGAGAAAGGAACTGGAAGAAGATGGAAGGACACCAGGTTACATGATCTGTGTCCTCTAAACAGCAAAGACAGGTCCACCATGACTAAAGTGACACAAGCCACCATGACTTAGACCCACATGGTCATAAACTGGGCTATCTCACTCTTCTCTCCCTCAGCCAAAGAGGTTTGACTCTCTCAGGACAACAAGTGTGCCTGGGAGGAAGAAGACAATGAAGTTAATGGGAACATTCATTTACTGAACACCTTAAAGTCAGGCAGGCATGTGTTACAATGAAGATTCAAAGGTCAATGTAACTACACTGTAGAAACAGTCTGTGTGTCAGCATGAGCTCTGCATCAGTTTCTAGTAAGTTCTATTAGTGGTGACTAGCTGTGTCAGGGAAGATGTCAGAGTGGAGATCAGTAAGGAGAAGCTGAAGTTAGGACACACAAAGCCAACCAGACAAGGGAAACAGGTTCAGAAATGGGAAGTGTGCGCCTTAGTTGTGAGTTCGGGGATTTATTGTTCCAAATAAATGTGGTATCTGGGCCAGAGATTTTAAAACAAGCCCACATCCAATCAACAATGAGCTGCCAAGCAGAGAGTAGGGGCTGAACAACTAGAGGTTTCTTAGTAGAGGAAATGGCATGATCAAATCTGTATTGTAGATGCCTGGCAGCCATGTGGAAGATGAAATCAGTCCTCATAAGCATGACTGATGTCCAGCCACAGAAGATTTCCTCTGAATCCACAGAGCCCATGCTTGGCTCCTCCCTGGCCCTAGAACTGCATCCTTGGAAAAGGAAGATCTATACTGTGGTGACAACTTCCTAATGTATTTGTGTCCATAATAAACTATCCTTAACGTTCTTCTTGTACAGTTCTTATTCTCACATCCTATTGACACTTCTGATTAACAGAGCCATCCCTGCAGCCTCCCATGAACACTGAACCCTCAGGATCCCAGCATTCTTAGGACAAGGTCCTCCTAGGTAATTCCTCTCCCTCTGCCTCATTCATATGTAGCAACAAGACAATGGACATAAGAATATTTTCTGGGCGCATTCTTGTACATAAGTCTAGTCAAGCAAACAAAATGAACTGATTATGTCTCATAGAGCAGGCCTGCTGGAACTATATTTATTTAATGGATGATAATACAGGAGAAGCAGGTATGGCTCAGGAGTTCCCCATTGTAAAGCAATACAACGTCCTGCAGCAGTGGATATCAAACTCTTGGGGCACAAGCCTGACCTTTGGGGAATGGGTTCTTCTTAGCATGAGTTAAGAGGCCGGATAGCTGGCTCAGTGGTAAATAGCACATACTGCTCTTCCAAAGAACCTCAGCAGAGTTGCCAATATCCACTTGAGATGGCTCAGAGAACTTCCAATTGCTCCATGTCCAGGTAGGATCTAACAGCTCTGACCACCTCAGAACCCTGTATTCAGTGCAGGTATACCAACACACCTTGCCACATATGAACATAATCTGAAAGAATGTAAAGCATTTAAGAAGCAGACATTAGAAACTCCAACTTCAGTCTATATTGAGAGTGAGAACTCAACTGAAAGAGCTCCAGGAATTTTGTGTCCATTCTTGTCCTTCAAGGTTAGCACTGGCATATGTGAGTTGCTTTTATTCTTCCCCTGGCCTTCCTGGATAGGGTGTAAGCCATGTCCAGGTTTGATGACTGCTTCTTTCCAAATTGTTGGCATTTATAAAGGATGCTGCAGAGGATCAGTGAAAAAAAGGCAAACCCTTCCTGTTCAGAGCAAAAGAGGCAGGGTCTCTGCTGGGGACAAGAGACTCTGCATGTTCTAGGGCCCTCATCCCTCCACTGCTTACATATGCACCCTTCTGTATGAAGACCTGATATACAGAAAAGCATTGGCCAAAGACAACCAACCATCATACTAGAGTCTGACTCCTTATTTTCAACTGACTCTAATCAGTTTGAAGTCTCTGCGTATCCATCTCTTCCCCAAGTGACTACATTGCCTATTCTGCACGTAAGAGGGGCCCAGATTCCAGTGTTTGATGGAATCATCTATAAAGGCCCAAAGGATACAACCACCATCTCTCTCAGAAACATGCCACATCTTTATGTAATTGGATGTCCAGGAAGCTGCAGATGCACCCTGACACTCATCACTGAGAGTCTCTCCTTCAGCTCATACCCTGAGATGCTGATATACACAGAAATAAATACTTCCCTGTATAAGTATGAGATCATAACTCATACAAGAGCCAAGCAGCGATGTAAGGAGGAACACAGTGCTGAACTGTGTTATTGACTTTTTCCTGGTTATTATTTGAACCAACCAAGGAACAATACTCTAATTGTAGCTAGAGACAAGTCAGATATAAAATATAAAAAGAGCCAAGTTCTCAGCATGCACCTGAAAAAGCTCTTTTTTCTATATTTCCTGCTTGACTGCCTCCTCCCACACCCATGTTTCTACTTTTACTGAGGGTATAAATTGCTTTGTGAGTTCAGCCTAGCCAGAGCCAACATGAAGACAGCCACAGTCTTTGTTCTGGTAGCTTTGATTTCTATGACGATGAATACTGCCTGGGCTCTGTCTAATTCCAAAAGTAAGTGTGTTAAGGGGATTCAAGCTGAAAGCAGAAAGGGCTCAAAACCCACTAGGACCTGGGGATGAGCTAGCACAGGGGAATGCCACGTGCCAGCTGCTTGGATCAAACTTGCTCCCTTTGGGCTATAATAGTGATCACTCTGCATTTCTTGTCAAGAGAGAGAAGAGGGGGGACAGAGTGAGAGACAGACACAGATACACAGAGACAGACAGACACAGACAGAGAGAAAAAGAGACAGAGACAAACAGAGAGACACAGAGAAAGAAAGAGGGAGGGATATGTATCTGACAGAAGCTGGGATAGAGAGATCAGGGCAGCTCCCCTAGGTTGGAGATGTGCCTCGCATTTGGGGCTTGTGGGAGCACTTGCTCAGAGATGAATCATGGGTCTAGTGTAATGAGAGAGGTGTGACTATCATTAGAGATTTTATGGCATCTTCTGAGGTGTAAAGGCAGGTTGTGATGGTGGAAGGTTCTTTCTCCTGAGACTGCATAGGCTGTGGAGGGGGAGAACCCTCTTCCAAGGGCCAGAATCAACAGCTGGCTTAAGAGCAAGACTGGAGCTGGTGAGGCTGAGGGTAGAGCCTCGGGTAGATTGAAGGATCTCAAATAAGCTAGTCTCCTGCAGGTGATGAGCCTTTAGACCTCTAGGGTCAATTCTCACCCTTGTCTTTCTGACTGCTTCAGGCTCCACAAACACCATTCTATGTTTCAGCATTAGAAAAACCTGGAGCTTGTCCTAAGCTGCCCCCAAACACTTATGGAACTTGTGATGAACGATGCTCAGGAGACGAAGCGTGCTCTGGCGAAATGAAGTGCTGCAGCAATGGTTGTGGCCATTCCTGCCAGCCTCCTGTCTTTTAAGTGAGTATAGTCTTATTTCTTACTTTTCTATTGATGTGATACGACACCATGACCAAGGCAACTTATAGAAGAAAATTTATTGGGTCCTTACAGGTTAAAAGTGTGAGTCCATGACCCTCGTGGTGGGGAGCATGGCAGCAGACAGGCAGGCATGGCACTGGAGCATTGTCTGCAGGCTTACAACTTGAGAAGGAATCCTGAGGCAGCAGAGAGTGAGCTAACTGGGAAGGATACAGGCCTCTGAAAAACTCCTACCCTGTCCCCTGTGATACAACTCCTCCAACAAATCCATACCTCCCAACATATTTCCCCAAAGTTCCAAAAACTATGAACTGATTATTCAAATATATAATACTAGAAGCGCCATTATCATCCATACTACAACATCCTGTCAAGGTATGTCCCAGGGACTGAGTCAGTTTCCAGGGGACTTTCCTGGAACAGTCTCATGCTGCTTTGTTCAGTGGCTGCACAAAAGTGGCTGGATGTGAGCAAGAGAAAGGAACTGGAAGAAGATGGAAGGACACCAGGTTACATGATCTGTGTCCTCTAAACAGCAAAGACAGGTCCACCATGACTAAAGTGACACAAGCCACCATGACTTAGACCCACATGGTCATAAACTGGGCTATCTCACTCTTCTCTCCCTCAGCCAAAGAGGTTTGACTCTCTCAGGACAACAAGTGTGCCTGGGAGGAAGAATACAATGAAGTTAATGGGAACATTCATTTACTGAGTATCTTAAAGTCAGGCGGGCATGTGTTACAATGGAGATTCAAAGCTTAATGTAACTAGATTGTCAGCATGAGCTCTGCATCAGTTTCTAGTAAGTTCTAACAGTGGTGACTAGCTGTGTCAGGGAAGATGTCAGAGTGGAGATCAGTAAGGAGAAGCTGAAGTTAGGGCACACAAAGCCAACCAGACAAGGGAGACAGGATCAGATGGTGGGAGAAATGTGGCCCTCCTTGAAAATTTGGAACATGATTAAAACAGAAAGCTTCAGTGTCTAGGTGGGAGACTCTACAACAAGCCCACGTCTAATCAGCAACGAGCTAACCAGCAGAGATTGAGGGCTGAACCACTAGAGGTTTGTAAGCCTCTAAGAAATGTCATGATCAAATCTGTATTGCAGATGACTTAGAGCCATGTGGAAGATGGAATCAATCCTCATAAGCATGACTGATGGCCAGCCACAGAAGATTTCCTCTGAATCCACAGAGCCCACGTTTGGCTTCTCCCTTGACCTAGAACTGCATCCTCTGAAGAGGAAGATCTACACTGTGGTGACAACTTCCTAATGTATTTGTGTCCATAATAAACTGCCCTTAGCATTCTTTTTGCTGAAGAATTCTTCTTATTTGTGTATCATTGACTATTCTTCTTTATGAGAACCATCTCTGCAGCCCCCAGAGAGTCCATGAACACAGACTGAGCCCTTAGGAACTCAGCGCACCAGAGACAAAGTCCTCCTAAGTAATTCCTCTGCCATGTCCGTATCTACCGACAAGACAGAGGACATGAAAATTTTTCTGGGGGGCATTCTTGAACATGCATCTCATCAAGCAATCAAAATGAACTGAGCATGTCTCAGAGCAAGATTGCTGGAGTGCATTTATTTACTGGTTTATGACACAGGAGGTACAGGAAGGGCTCAGTAACTCCATATTCTAAGGCAATACAATATCCTGCACGACTAGATAGTTAATTCAGGAGTGCAACCATGACCTTTGGGGTATGAGTTCTTCTTAGCATGAGTTAAGAGGCTGGAGAGCTGGACCAGTGGTTAATACTTCATGCCGCTCTTCTAGATGACCTCAGTTCAGTTCTTAGCATCCATATAAGATGGCTCAGAACTTCTCTTAACTCCAGCTCCAGGAGGATCTGATAGCAATAACCTCCTGAGTCACCTGTACCTATTCCCACCCTAACACGATGCACACAATTTAAAATAATTTTTAAAAAGTTTAAGAAGCGTGAATTAGCAGTTCCTGTATACATTGGGAGTTAGAACATAACTAAAATATCTTTAGGAATTTGGGGCCAGTTCGTATTCATCAAGCTCAGCACTGGTGTCTGGGGTGCTTAGGCCTTCCCCTGACCTTACTGGATGGCATGCAAGCCATGTCCAGGTTTGATTGTCTGGTTCTCTCAGCACTGTGTATGGAGGATGGCTGCAAAGGATCAATGATTAAAAAAAAAAAGAAAAGAAAAGAAAAAAAAGAAAAGCAATCCTGTTTTCCCAGGGGAGAATCTCACCAGGAAACATTTAGTGTCTGTTATCTTTCTTAGATCCCTCAACTTTGCTGAAGTTTGGTGTCCTCTTTCTGACTCTATCAGAATACTTCTGTCTCACCAGGCTTACCTTATAACATAATGTCCTATGTTCCCTTCTTTGTAGTTCCCTCTAGAATGTTTGTTCTGTGTCTCATTCTCTCTAATTCACTAGGCCTATCTCCTCCAGAAGCCTTGATAAATGTAGAGCTCTCTTTCATGTCAGTCCTGATTTCCAAGTGTCTTTCATCCTTCCCATCCTTCCTGAGTTCATATTTTCTCCTGAGAGCTCAACTCCCCTGTGTCTTTATATGCTAAATCCCAGCTCCTTACTTGTGCCTTCCTAGTGATTTTTTTATGGGATCAGGTGGGACAACAGTGTAGGATATCCCATCATAGGGAGGGCTATTATCATCTGGGCGCATCTAATCTCAACTTGTCAACCACATATAGTCCAGTCAGTGACTCTGGATCTCAGCCTCTCTGAACCTCTTTCAGTTTGGGTTCAACCAGACAAACAAGGTGGATATACACTAAGAAAACTTGGAGTTGGTTCATGTGGTTGGGGCTTGCCTTGCCAGCTGCAAACATGGGCAGACAGCCAGCAGGCCAGTTCAGAATCTCCAGGCAAGAGCACCTTTACAAGGGGAGCCACGGCTCCACTCCTGAAGCATCTTCCACTGACTCAGTCTCCCCATCCCAGCTTGTCTAAGCTCGTTTTTCTTAAGGTCATTGATTTTGAACTCAAATGACAGTTATGAGATATGGTCCCAGCAACATCTAGTTAAGTATTTGAATGCTAGATTGTAATATAACTGAGTTGGCATATAAAACTGACCATCACAGTGCCCTTGACTGAGTGCATCCCTTCTTCAATAGCGGTCACCCTTGGGTGCTATATTAGCTAAACTTCAGTGTTGGGGAATGGGGAGGTAGGAAATGGAAGGAGAAGTTCCTTAGATAGGGTAGACCAGCCTCCATCTATCATATGCCTTTCTAACTAATTGTAATAGTTCATCCTTCTGACACTATACAAGACTGGTTCTGTTGATGTCTTCCAGCAGCAATCTTCCTGGGACAAGGCAGGGCAAGAGAGAGCAGAGCATAATCCAAAAGCCTTCCTCCAGTCTAGTGTCTCCCTGTGGTCCCAATCCGCTTCTGCAATAAGTCAAACATCTACTACTCCCTTGCGAACACAATACATCAGAGTTTCTCAAGGGTCTCGACATCTTTCTATTTGTTGCAAAAGTTTCCAGAGATATGCAAAGAAGCTAAGAGTCACCTCATGGAGCAAAGAAGGACAAGGCCATCAATCGGGCTTTCAGGCAGACCTCAACATGCTCAATACTAGCTTCTGGGAATAAAAAGAGCAGTTCCATGGTAGCCAGAGAGTTTTCCTCTATTATAAAACCCCTCCTATGGGGGGATGTGCTCACTGCTTGGCTTATTTGTAACAGGCTTGCCTGGGTCATTGATTGAACAGGAAATGCTCAGTTCAGGAGTGTTGCTTGTTTGGCCCAGCACATGGGAGGCTCAAGGATCACAAGTCTGGCTATGTAACAAACTCTCATTCCCCAAAATAAAATGTATCTGGGCCATGGTGTTGCTGGAATTTCCAACCCCAAGAAGCCCATATAAAAACACACACAATCCAGTTATTATAGTTATAGGCTATATGCCTAGATTGGGTAGATCTAATACTATACTAACTTACTCCCCAGCTACTTGCAGTTTCTCCTGGCCACATAGTTCTGGTCCATCATGGCTTCCTCCTCTTTCTCCTCTTCTTTAGCCCTCTCTCCTTCCTCTCTCATCTTCTTCTGCTTCTCTACCTGCCCCCACTCTCAAACCTCAAGCCCCACTTTTCCCTTCCACTGCCCAATCATAGGCTCTAGCCTTTCTTGACCAGATAAAATGGGGAGAAAGTTCACATGAGATCACCTGAGTATAGGGTGGTCTGCTCATCAGGGGTAACCACTCTTGGGGGAGCAGAATTAACATCAGAATTCAAACAGTATCAGGACAACCCACACAACATCATGGTGGCACATGCCATTAGTGCCAGCACATGGGAGACAGTGTCAGACAGATCTCTGTGAGTTCAAAGCCAGCCTGGTCTACAGAGTGAGTTCTAGGTCAGGCAAGACCACACAGAGAAACCCTGTCTACAAAAACAAACAAAAAAACAAAAACCCTAAATAAATAAATAAATAAACATAAACAAACAAACAAATAAATACATACATAAGTATGTCCCTTTGTCCCAGTGGACTAAGGAGAGAATGGGTAGCATTCGGTTTGCTCATCCTGCTGTCAGGAGTTACCATCTCACACTGGTGAGTCACCCCTGTCCTTATCCTTACACGAGTATCATGAGCATCTCTAAGGATGGTCCAAGAACAAGGCCAGCTCATGTCATTGGCTTCTCAGGTGCATATTCTCACTACCAAGTAATCTGTGGCTTGAGCCTATCGCTTTCTTTCCAGATGCTGCCAAGCACGCAAGACTCTCCAAGGACCACAACAACATTTGCTCTGTTTGTCACTGTGGTCTTGGAAGAAAGGGCTTAAGAAAGACAATATTATTGTCTCCAAGAGAGTTCAGAACACCCTGGGGGTATCAGGCTAAAGAACAGAGTGAACTACTTCCTGAAGTTGTCTTTTGTCTGTCTCTAACCTGGACACGCTGTACTTTTCCCACTGCCTCGTCCAGTTCATGCAAATACAGCGGTCAGGTGGTTCTGCCAAGTATGCTGTGGACTTGAGTGAGTTCAGAGCAACAGTGAACAGACTTACTCTGAGAGGAAAGAAAACACCTTAAAGATGAGCAGAGTGCAGCAATGGAACCTTGCTGCAAAGGGGGAGGAGGCAGATCAGTAGGATTCTGTACCCTGTGGTGTCCTGGCCTCCATGGATTAAGTGTATAAGGCCATTGAATAAAACAGCAACAAAAATCCCTGAAAATAAGTTTTCCTTCAATACTGTGAAAGATGGAAAGTTCTGGAACTCAAGCTGCCCCTGAATTCTCTGCCCAGAACCCCGTAAGCTCCTGGCCAATACTACTCCCAGCCCAAGCATCAAGACATGTAATTGGAAACAATGGATGCCTAGCTGGGAATTTTGATTTATTAATTATATACACAATAAAAATAAACTGAGTCACTTTGTAGAGACTTTACTCTGTCAAAAACCTGTGAATGAAGTTAGGGGAGGAAGAGTCTAAGAGACCTCTTTATATTGTCTTCAAGTGACTTTTCTATAAATCTAAACATTGTTACAGGTAAAAACTGTATACAAACACAGCTAGGAGGGGCAGGTATGTCCCAGGGGCACTCTTCAGTGGTAATAAAGCCAAATCCCATGAGCTATCACATGGGTTATGTAGTTACTCATATAAGAGTTGAGTCTAGCCTCTTGCATTTTGATATTGGGTAGCCCCATCAAGTTGAATGTATTACCTAGATTTCAAACCTCTTCAAACCAAGCATGTGGCTTGGTGGTAGTGTACTTACCTACTATGGACAAGGCCCTGGGTTCAACCCAAAGCACTGGACAGGCAAGAAGTCATTGCTTCTCCCTTAGGAATGTTTCTCCCTTGTTGTCTGTTAAGTGGAAATCCTAAGAATGTTAAATGTTATCAGCTCTATCGCAAGATAAGCTCCTAATGCTGAAGACACCACACACCTGGGCTGGAAGACATTGAGGAAGCAGGCTGAATTTCAGGCCGAAGTTTCCTTTCTGTTCACTACTGTCCAAAGAACTGGAAGGTGCTATGTAATCTGTTGGGTAAGAAAGGTCATCAGTAGTCCTATCTGGCTTGGACCCCATGAGCTACAGTAGTGAACTGCTTGGCAAATATGCCCACTAGTACAACAGGAGCATGACTGTCATGGTGACAAGGTTTTTTGATTGGATCTGAGGCCCACGCCATGGAAGGAGATTCATGTCTGGCACTGCAAATCTGGTCAAGAATGCATGGCCGAAGTGTTATAAGCCATAGTGGGTTTCTACAAAAGCATGAAGGCCAAATAAGTTATCTAATAAGGACAAATAAAATTACATAATTAAAACAACCAAAATAAC